TATTACTAATGATTGGGTTAGAATACCTGTAATAATGATCACACCAGCATGACTGGCAGGTTATAGGGCATCTGTGCAATATTGGAGTTATACAAAGAAATGCAAACTGACAAATTGAGTAGTGCAAACACTAGATAAGTCCTTGTGGTTATGTAAATCTGTTGAAATTAGGTAACAAGAAGTCTATTTGGGAAAACCTATATAGAGAAGTAGCTAGATCTTCGACAGCCCTACTGTAAAAATTAGCCTGATAAAACAAATACCAAGATCTAGTACTCAGTTGTAATAGCCATATGAGCAAGAACCTCTAAATTGGAAGTCTTGAATATACTACTAATCAGGCTGTTAAAATGAACTAAAAAAAAAGGATATTAGGCTGACCTGATATACTAATAAACTAATCATAGTTCTATATAGGCTATCTGGATTAGAAGTTTGGTAAAAAGATAGAGAAAAAGTCAGAGGTATACTAAAGTACTAGGATTATGCTATGAAATAGATGTTAGGGTTTAAGTGAACTCTATAAGAGCATAATGGTTTAATGGTTAACTCTGACTACAAGTGTTGGTTCTGCTATAGTAATACTTAGATCAACTATAAAAATAGATATAGAAGACTCTGGGAGGTTTATCTTGAGAATAAATTAGTCCTAAGGTTAAGACGATAATCTGGCCATCTGAGTATAACTATACTTACTATTCAAACTATAAACTCTTAAAATCTTACCCAAACCCAAATCTCAAGTGAAAAAATCCCAAATTCCAAACTGAAAAAATTCTATTTGGGATGCCATAATTCTAAACTCTGGCCAAATTCCAAACTCTGTTCCAAATCCCAAATCTTATCCCAAATTCTATTTCAAATTTCAAATCTCAAATCCTAAATCTCAATTCTATTCTATGTTCCAAAATCACAAATCCTATCCCAAGTTTTAAATCTTATTCTATTTCAAATCTCAAGTTTTTGAATATAAAATCACAATTCAACCTTTGATTATAATACAACTAGTAATATAATTCAAACTTGATAGTTTTATTTATTATTGTTAGTAAAATTACAAAATTTTTAAAATCCTATTTAACCAAATCCTGGCCAAATTCTAAACAAATTAAATTAAAATCAAAATTATATATTATATGTAATAGTATAAGTTAATTTTTTATAAGATCACAGTCAACTCTTTAATAAACTGATAGTTCTAAAAAAAGTTCATTTTAAAAAATTACTATATTCTTAAGAGCTTATGATACTTTTTTATACTAAACTAATATAAAATAAAATTTTAAGGTTCATTATATCTAAGATTGCTAAGAATGCTAGAAAGTTTATTTTAAAAATAATATCTTATTGATATTTAATTGGTATTCATTTAGCAATACATTTAATATATTATAGTGCTTTTCTACCAAAAAAATCTAAAAACTTCTGTACTTTTTTATGAATAAATCTAATTAACTTGTTTAGAAACAAAAATTCTAAGATTCTCTATTATATTTTGATTCTGCAGTATTTTTTCTAGTAGCATAAAAGTATTGATAATTAGTTTGGCAAAAAAATATCAAAATTTACAGTTTCTTTTTTTGTTAGTAGGAATTCTTATATTATTTTGTAAAACTAACTACTAATACTAATATACTACTAAAGATAATACTATAGAATCGAAATATAACAGGAAATTTTAAGAATTTTTATTCTAAACAATTAGACTTTTGAGAGTTATGTTAATTTAAAAAGCACTATAATTAGTAAAGAAAAGAAAGCTTAACATATACTGAAACAAACCAGATAGCTTTTTTCAATATAGAGTATTGAAATTGGATGTTTAATATAGAAAAAGTTTGGTGGTAAAGATCTGAGTTCAGAACACATTTGAGCTTGTTAATGTTAGGTTTATAGATAGTAAAGCATATTGCAGATTTAGATTTATTTTTATTATTAATAATAATAAATAACTTTTGTCATACACTATATATTATATATTTATTAATTTTTATATCTATTTTTTAGTAGTAAAGTAATAAATGCAGCTGTATCCTGTTGAATAAATTGCATTCAAATTAATGATATTAAATTTATTTAGTACTTTACATAACAATCTTTAGCTTTAATAAATGTATTTATTCTATCATCTAAACTATTGATATGTTTTTGCAGGAATATTTTGCTACTATTCTAGAAGAATGCATTTTAATTCTCTTAAATTTCAAATAAAGATTTTCTACTATTAACAAGTTGGTTGAGAATGTCCCAAAGATGTTTTATATAATTATAATCAGAACTTTTGTGAATGATTCTATATGTAAAAATTTGTATAAAAATATTAGTTTATCATGATTTAGATTTTTTTTTAAAGATTCACATATTTGTAAAAGTATGAAACCTAATAATTTATTAAGTTTCAAACTTATTTCATTTCTACATTTTTATTTAACTTGTATTAAATAAATATTTTATTATATACCAATAGGAGGAACAGTTAATATTATATAACTGATCCTTCTGTTATATATCACAAATAAATAGACTGAGAAAAATAATATAAATAGTTAAAGCAAACTAATTTACTAAATCTTTTAAATATGATATATATGCCAAAAATATTAATATCAGAAAATAATCTGGTTGTTATTATACTTGCTAACAAAACCCCAAACTTTAAAAAAACAAATTGCTTTTATAAAAAATTAAATTAATAAAATAATTTTGATATTTTGTAAATATATTATATATAACTATAAGAATATAAATTATTTGTTTAAATAAAGATTATTAATAAAGTTTTTGAGATATTAATTTGGGTTTGAGTTTGGAATTTGGGTGTAGACAAATGCAAACTATAATAGTTTGGGATTTGGACAGCAAGTATAGTTGTTATATGTCTTTTAATATTATATAGATTGAATCTTAAGAATATTTAGTATTGAAAATTAAAAAAAAAAATTACTTCTACAAAAATTCTGATGATTTTTTGTTTGGCACTGTATGTTAGTATTGATTGAACATCAGCTATCGCTATAACAAAATTAAGAATAATATTGTTACATACAATAATTTGCCATATAAAACATCCAGATTTGTTATATTCCACCAATATCATAAAGTGCTAACTCAGAGATCTCCTTATTATTTTTACTTAGAACTAGTTGAAGACTAAAGTTTGATTTATATTCAGATGTTGTATATACTATATTGGTAATACTAAGAGAAAACCTGCAAATTTATTAATGCATTTTTTGGTAAGATGAAAATTTATTTACAGGTTTTCTCTTAGTATCACATATATATCAAAGAATAAAATCTTTGTAACTTGTTTAAAATTTCAAAGATTGGCAAAATGAAAAGATATCCAGATACAATGCTAGTCTTTGTAAATACATGAATACATTAGTTAGTGCTCTACAGTGTTTATCTTTGTAAATACCCAGATATATCAGTCAGTGTTTTACAGTATTTATCTAATAATAATAATAATAATAATAATAATAATAATAATAAACTATTAATAAAAAAAAAATTGAAAGATATGGCTTTTATGGCAAGTTAGAGTAATAAATATAAAGATTTGAATTTCTTAGGAATTAAATAAATCTGACAATTTGACTTAGTTATTTACCAATGACATATTACTGCTTAATAAAGTTTACACACAGCAAATAAAAGACAAACTTTCAGATAAGTATAAAAAAATAAACCTAAGGATACTATTTTTAGTCTGAAGGAAGTTGTCCTGTTGTTTTATAGAATCTGACAAGGCAGTGTATTCTTGATTTGATCAAAATTAACTAAAATTTAGCATCCTTATCACTATGATTACATTCTAAGTATTTATGAACAGCAACTGCTTTTTTGATCAAGTGGTAAAGATCTTTAGGAATCTTGAGTGCTAAACCTTTAAAGAAATTATTCAATATTATTGCTCAATCAGCGAACCTTATCTTTATTATTATTATTATTATTATTATTAAAAAAACAAAGAAGCTTATCATTAAACTTCAAGATTCGAATAATTTTATTTACAGTAATGTTTTTAACTAGCCAAAAATTATAAGAATTTTGGAGAAGTACACCAATTTGTGAGGGTATTGTACCTTTTTTTGCAAGCTTTAAAATTTGTTCACAAACATCTTTAGATATAACTCTTATCTATAAAGATTGCATATGTCGATACAAAGTGCAGCTCATTTTATTTTAGAGTTTGTTTATCAAAAAAAAAAGAAAAAAAATCCAGATAGAAGAAAGCACTAGAAATTCTTATGATATTTTCATTTACTGTTGGAAATCGTGCAAATAAATAGTTACTATTGGAGATCGTGCAGACAAATAGTTATTATTAGAGATTATACAAGTACGTAAATAGTTACTATTTGTAGACATATAATATAACAAATTTTTATCCTAAAGAATAATTAATTATGATTAATGCAATATAATCATTGATAAGAAAAAACTATTTTTATTGACCCACCTTAAAAAATATTGAATACATATTTTGGAAAGTTTTTTTGTCAAGTATAATAATTGACTATTAAAAATTTAAGAATAAATTAGAAATATAACTAGCATGATTAAAATAAAGGACAGTAAGGTTATCAGCATATATTTGTCATGATCTAAAATGCTAATAATTTTTTATTTTGTGAATTAATAAAAATGGTTAGGTAAGTAAAGCAATATTTTCACCCTATGAGAATTTAATTAAAACTAAAAAAAACTATACTTACTAATGAATAACTTCTGTGGTAATAAAGTCAGTATATTGATAGCCAACTAAAACATTTAAATAATATTGTTAATTGGAATTCAAAATATATTCTCTTTATGAATTTATGAATTGAAAGTAATAGCTTCCTATTAATATATATATATTTAATAAATTTTAAATTTTAAAGTGTATTTCATATCTATCTATCAGTCAATGAATTACTCCTAATTTTTAATGATATATTTGTTTGGCTAATTCTTAGTAATTTATTAAATCTACAAGTGTTTAGACTTAGACATTAATTACTTATCAAATCAGTAATGTCAAAATTCTTATTACTATGTACAACTTCTTCAATTAAACTTGAAGATTTATTAATCTCTAACTTAGAAAACAAATATATAAAGTTTTCAACTTCTAAATAACTTGAATTTTTGCTAACTAAATCATCCAGTTCTTTTAAAGACTCTTTTGTAAATTCTTTTTCATATTTTTTCAAAGGATAAAATAAATGTTTTTCACTAAATAAGTCAGTATTGTAATAAAATTTACTAAAAACTATCAAGCTGTAGCAAATTTTAAAGTGATGAGTGTCAAGTAGAAGATCTTTT